AAGTGATGCAAGTAAGTTACCAACCTTTCCAGGTCGATAGTTTGCGGGCCAATTTTCATTCTATATGACCTTAAAGCTACATACGTCCATTTTTTTGACATTTTAAAGTTAAAAAATGGCTTTTTTTAATTTCTATGCTGCGATTATTAAACTCTTTTATCTCACCTGGCATTTTAATTTTTTTCGTTTTCCTGGACTCTTATACTTTATCTTTGATAATTATTGTGCTAGCTGTCGCCCTTATTTACTCTTTCATTTTCAGATATCGATCACAATATTGCATATATCGACTACACGATATCATATTTTTATTTCTTACTTTCACATTACTACTATTCTTTCTCACTTGAAGTTCCACAGAATAGCCAGGTTTGTTGCGGTGGCCTAGACGTTCTCTCGATCTATGTATATCCATGGTTTACTTTTATTGTTTTAACTAGTCTTAATATATCATTATATTAATTAATATCGCACTTAACTCTCTTGCCACATTACATTCTGTCTATTATATCAATTAAAATGGTATTTTGTATCTTTAACAGCTATTCATTATACACTTTATTGGTCCCAGGTATTTCGCTGCCAAACCCAGTTGTTTATGGCTTCCGGGCTCAATGTTTCTTTGTTCGCCGACAACGATCTCCAGTTCTCTCGACAGCTAGGCATCGGCTATCTGGAGTTCGTTCATCTCTCCGACTGTGACACCGAAATACCTTGGCTCACTAACTATCTGCGTACATTGCCGCAAAACTCACCTCTTCCATTACCACCAGTACCTATGTCAGTCCCTTCTCCGGAAATTGCTGGTCTCGTGGCTGTTGTTGAAGTATCCAAGAACAATTTGCGAGTAACTGCTAAGCCAAGCCTCTTGAAGGCTGCCTTAGCTAGGAAGAAGGCTATTTCTGCAGAAGGTAAAGCTATTGCCGATGGGAATGAATTCGCCAGCGACATATCAGATATTCAAGTGAGCATTACCAATCTCGATCCATGTTGATTCTGACCCATAAGTTTTAGTAATATAAAAGCCTTGAAAATCGACCTTGGTTCAATCTCTTCTTAGTTAGGGCAAATAGATTAAGCGAAAAAATTTGTTTTTGCGAAATATCCTGAGTTATGTCTGGCGAGATCACTTGTATTTCGATTGAAACTGTGTGATAAAAAGATTTGAAGGTCGATTTCACCAGAAAAAGAAAGCGGACTTCTCTTGGCAAGCTGTTACTTGGTTTTACCTAAACAATCTTACTGGCAATATCTCACTAAGAATAGAAGTTGTTTGACCTTGTTTTCGAAACTTGGTCATATTGGTAGGAAGACTTAGAGGAACGCACCTAGTTCGGAGTCCATTGTATGCATAATCATTTCCAAAGTCGGACCTTGGACGTGGTACATTCTTGGTATTCACCAAGAATCTTCAAATAATTGTTGAGCTTACTTCCATTTGAGTGAAAATGTTTGGTGAAGAGATTCGAAGATCGATTCCACTAGAAGACGACAGCGGATTCATCTTGACCAGTTGTCACTTGGCTTTACTGGAATATTTATGTTGACGCTGTTTCCGAGGTAATCTCTTTCGATTCCCGTGAAAACTTGGTAAGCTTTCGTCAGCCATATGGCTAACATCATCAGATCAAGGTATCATCCTTACAACCAAATTCAAGCTACCGGTCAAGAACTGGTCTCCTTTATGAGGTATAAAGTGATTTGATTAGTTCTAGTCATATATCAACCTCGATGCATGTTAATGTGTCAGTCTTTGTATGTATATGTGCCTTTGTGTGTTCGCCTATGCACGAGACGAACAGTTATGGCTCAATGTAATTAGGACAGCAAAAGTAACGTCTCTTCTCGGCCATCGAGGTTTGATGATCACTATCTCCCCATTTTTAAATATATGTTATAACCATCACTTCGATTGCGCAAGGTCGGACACACGTCTGGTTGTGTTGAGCCTTTTTTTCTTCATGTGAGAAGGAAAGAGTGGGATAAAAGTACAAAGAAGTGACTATAATTAGAACCAAGAAAAGAAAGGGTTAGTTGAATCGCCTCATTTTTGCAGGCGGCTCAACACCCTTTATCATTGAGTCTATTAATTAAGCACAAGTAATTTTTACTTTTCTTATCAGTATTCCTTACATTCAATGTATTCCCTATTCGGTTTATTTCGATGGCTTCTCTAATTTGTCATTTAGTCGCAGACATGCCATAACGAGAAGTGTTAGACCATTCAATCTCGTGTCCTGTTTCTGTCCTGTGCACAGCCAGCTCCAATTTTTGAACCCAACAGCATTTGCAGGCGCTTTTGTACTTAGCCACTCTTTGTCGAATGGGACGACAAGTCTCGTCCAACATGAAAGCGACCACATAAACACATTATTTTGTAACAACCCGATCTGGATAGTGGGTTAACCTTCTCTCTAAAAGTGGGCATAACTAAAAAAAAGTGTCGTAGTTTTCCTGAAAACGGTTTTTACTCCCTACTTCTTTACTCGTTCACCTATTCTTTTAGAGAGAATACACGAGGGCAAAGACAAAACATGATAAAAAGTCTCCTTATCTCTCCTTACTTATTCACCATTCAAAAATCTATTTTATATTAACTTACTATTATTTTCAATCAAATTTAAAATATAATTATTCTCTGGAAGTATTATTTTAAACCGATCTAGTTCATTATCACAATGGTTTCTATCGGCAAGTCTTATGATCCGAATAATCATAGATTTTAAAACTTCAACCTTTGTTTTGTAACTTTGATTGGGGAAGTAATTAAGGATAAAGCCAGCATGCGTTGTCTTTCTATATACATCCCTGCTTAATTTTTCACCTGCTATAAAAACTAAAACATCTCAAAAGGGCAAATTATTGTCCTTCTCCATCTCCATTGTCATTTTAACATTGCAGTCAATCTGGCTAATTAAGACCAAGAAATTATCTAAACTATCTTTACCATCGAAGGTATAAAGACCAAGATGGTCTTATCACAGTCTCTCTCTTGTCCCGTAAGATCTGTCGGCTCTCTCCCTGATTCACGTATCTTACTCGACCCCTGCCACCCATCTGTTCTACTCGAGGCGTTATTCGCCCTCCTCTGCGTCTGGATGACTAATTTGAGGCTCAAGCCTCTGAATAAGTCTCTTCGTCAAGCGTTTGAAACATGGACCATGTCTATGGTACAATAGACAACTGTTAGCCAACTAGCTCCAGTCTCCACCATCTATCCTTCTTCTATCCCTGATACCAAGTCTATGACCTATGCCCCAGTCGCTTGTGTGCCAACCCACAAACGTTGTGTTTAAACATTGAACTTAATCAAAGCAAGCAGTATCACAACATTGCGACATTTCCAGAGTCTGACCATGAACGTGGTACATTCCCAGACGTTTCGCCGCCATCGTCAGTGAGAATAGCCAGTCCTAGCACCACACTACAACTCGTCAAAAAGATAAGTGAGGCTGATCATTTGGCCTATTGTCTGCTAAACAATCGTGGTATCTCTCCTTCCGCCCTGGGCTAATCACCGATCCTATCTCGTATCACGCCTTCACTATCACAATTTTTGCTTGCTTATTTACATGTAGTATGGTGTGCCCTTTTGTGCGGCCTTCATCAGAACTCTCCACACTCCAAGCTGGATTTCTCGCTCCCTCATCACCCTTCATCCTTGTGCTGAGAATGTTGATCTAAGTCTGCCATATTCTTACATCTTCCTCCTTCCATAGGTCTTTACAGAGTCTACCTCTTGCCATGTAGGATCATGTTTCTATCCCTAATATCAAGTCTATGACGTTTTATACTTTAGTATTTTGTTATTTAACGCACAAGTGTTATGGTACTGCTTACTTTGATTAGGTTCAATGTTTAGCCACAACACATGTGGGTTAAAACAAGAGAATAGAGCATAGGAAGTCTTAGACTTGGTATTATGGATAGAAACAGGAAAGACGTGGCGGAGACTAAAGCTAGTTGGCTTACAGTAGGCCTGTTTTACCATGGTCAATGAAGCAAAGGTTTGGCCATGCGAATTACTCATGGGCTTCAGGTTCAAGTTAGTCTTCTAGACGCTAAGTGTGGGAAATAACGCCTCGAGTAGCACAGATGGGGTGACAGGGATCGAGTGAAATATGTGAACCAGGGAGCTAGCAGACAGATCCTACCCGGCAAGAGGGAGACTATTTTAGATCTAGGGGAGGACGATTGCGGAACAATGTGGCAGACTCAGATCAACATTCCCGGCACAAGAGTGAAGGTGGGTGAGGGGTTTAAAAAGCATGAGTGGGGTATAGAGAGTTCTCATGAAATCTCCTCAAAATGGCACACCATATCAGGTTTAAATAAGCAAGTAAAATTGTGATACGAGGATATTGTATTGATGATAAGCCCAGGTGGAAAGGAGAGATACCACGATTGTTTAGCAGAATATTGGTCAAATAATCGACTTCACTTGTCTCTTTGATGAGTTGTAGTGTGATGCTAAGACTGGCAATTCTCACTGACGATGCTGGCGAAACGTCTGGGAATGTACCACGTCCATGGTCCGACTCTAGAATTTATCATGCATACAATGGACTCCGAACTAGGTGCGTTCCTCTAAGCCTTCCTACCAATATGACCAAGTTCCTAAAGCAAGGTCAAACAAATCATTATTTCCTTTTTCCATTTTTTTCTCAGCAAATTTCGGTTTTTGTCAATTAATTAGTACATCTTATCTTTGGACTCTGAATTTTAGCCCGATCGAGTTCTCCTTGCTTGGATTCGCGGCTTTTCACCATCTGGCGTGATGGTTCAGCTTCCAGCTGGTCTGCGAGCCTTCGCTCCACTTAATATGATTTCGGATACTCGTCTGCCTTTGTCTGCCCTTAAGTCTGATATCATGGATGCTTCCGGGTCCAAGTCCAGCCTTGTCAGTCGCCTGCTTCCTTACGGCGCTACGGTTAGGCTTCGTCCTTTGGCATCCAGTTTGAACTCTACTCAAGCCACAAAAACTAACAATAACGTCAAGCGTACTCAATTATTCCGTAGTTTGGTGAGCCTTCGTTTCCTGGATGTATACACATCGGCTGATCAGTACTATGTAAATGAAGCGTTGCAGCATGCTGAAGTGATGATTAATAGTATGCTTTGGATGCGAGATAAACGTAAGTGGAAATCCTTTCATCGTATTCGTAGTTTACATCTGGTTAATACAGTAAAGTGTGATTCACATTTATTTTCTTACTCTAATATTGACTGATTGCACTCACCTTACTGCTAAAATCATACTTATCTCTAGGCTTAATGTTATCAAATATTTGTTGGCTTACCTCTCACCCTGAATACTCTGTCGGGTTTAGGAACGATCTCTTTAGCTCCTTGGACGATGGCGCCCATTGATTTAATATTTAAGCAATATTAGAACTTCTAATTCTTTATTACATCTTTTTTATTTAGACGGGCTTGTAAATGTAGATTACATTTTTGGATCTTTAGAATATTTTGATATTCCGATTTACTCACACCGAGTCACACATTTTGATTGAATTTAATATTCTGGTCTGTGCTTGGTTTGAGATCAACGCCTTTTTCAGTTCAGCATTTAGTCGTGCAAAAATCACGCCCATTTTTATTTTATTTTTTTTCATATCTATTAATAACTTAGTCTGAGTGAGTCGTAATAATTCATTTAAATCCTGCATCCAAGAGTATCAAATAGCATGGACGCTTACTCATAGAATACCGAGTCAGTTGACTTTAAGAGGTAAACATTATTAATTC